AAGTAATAATTCTTTGGCAACATTTTCCGGGATTGTAACCTCTGCTACAATTTTATCATCTACCGTAAGCTCCGGTACAACTTTATCATCCATTATCTAAAAAGGAATGCAGAAAAATGATCAAATAAATGATAAGGGTCAGTTCGCTAAAACAACTTTTATTGCCTTCTGGTGGACTATAAACACTTGAAAAAGTGATGGAGAACTGCATATTGTATTGCATTTGTTGGGTTTCATTTTTTTTTCAGTTTTTTCGGTTTTCGGTTCTTGCATTTGTTGTACAGAATACCAAATCGAATTATTTCGGTTCGGTTTCACAATTCACACACCAACTAAAAGCGAAAATCAGAAAAAAAACAAAAAAAAAAAAAAAAAAAAACGGAAGAAGAAAATAGAAATCAAGAAAACAAAAAATAATCATATATCATACCTGGACTGGTTGGCTGCTGCTGGTCGCGGCGGTCGGCGGGAAGTGCGGCGGTGCACTGCTGATTGCTGAAAAGTTGACAGTGATGACCTAATTTTTATTTTGTTGGCCTATAATATTTATTATTTAATATTAATAATTAATATAATATTAATATATATTATAATATAATATATTTCGATTATACTGAAAAATACAAAAATACATACCGAAAATCGAATTGAAATATCGAAAATGTGAAAACATATACTGAAAACCGAAATACCGAAAAAAATCGATTTTCACCATAAAAAAAAACTATTTGGAAATTTTACAAACAAACTTTCAAGAATTAAATACAAGGATAATATTGTCACGATCCAAAAATGGACGTGATGGCACTCGTCTTATCCACCAAGATAAGTCAGCCTAAAACTCAACCCTTACAATAAAATGCGAAATTTTTTATAATCAACTCAGTAATACTCCAAAAATCTGGTTGTCACGTGTACAAGCATCTAATGTGTTATAACAGCATTGAAGAAAAAATAAGTTCAATGACATTGTTTCTAGAATAGAACAAGATCATAATTAAAGAGAAAGAAGGTCTGCTAAAATGAAAAGCAGTTACCTTACAAACCTCCACAAGAAGCCTCAGACAAGGAGAAGAGAAAATATCACAAAAGTCTGGACTAGTAACCTACAAAAAAATGTAGTAGCAAGGGGTGAGTACCAACCACACGGTACCCAACAAGTAAACTTCTAAACACAAACTAAGGGGATAGAATACGGGTACTCCTTACACCCCAACCGAACCTCCACAACTACAACCTACATAAAACCAGCCCAAACTAACCGTTCACAATTTACAAGCACATATCTCAACAACAACATTCTAACAATCACATATTCTCAACAACAAGCTCCATATTCATCAATCAAAGTTCCATAAAAAGGCACTTACAATATTAGCAACACACAAGATCAAGTTCATCAAATAGAGGTAACCAAATATCAAGTACTTCCAACCACCAATAAAACACATAATCATCAAGAATGAAGGATGTCATAGGATGCAATGCAATATGACACCATGAAATGATATGCCTCAGAATACCAAGTACTCTCTCAACCGTATATACTTGATACTCCTCGAAAATACATCGAGAGTTCATGACCCATGGGGGACTTGCGAGGTCCATATACCGACACGGATGATCTCCACGTGTCTGTGCGAACGATCTCAACGCACTATCATAAATCAAACAAATTTCGCACGGACGATCTCCACGTGCCCAAATTATAATCTTAACATCTCACCATCTCGAGCACGGACGATCTCCACGTGCCCAACTTATACTCAATCTCATGTCAATGCATGTGCAGAATATGATTTCAATAAAAGGAATGATGCATCTCAATCAAATATCAATATGATATGTAGTCATCTCAGCTATAACCTGTATACGGGTTCAATAAAAAACACAACCACACATAATAAATCAAGTCAATATATAATATCAGCTAATGCCCATATGCTTTGGCATTCTCGGATTACAATCCGCATTCTATAGTAATAAATTTTCCCTTTATACACCGGTACTCGTACCAATGCCCGTCACAAACAATTTTCAACACATCACACACAAACAATTAATCACATTGCCTTTTATTATCTCTTTTTCATCTTTAGAATTAATCAATGTGGACAAGTCAACCCATCACCAAATCACATTACCCCCAAACATATATTACAAGGAAATACACGAATTCCATACACTTAACAAAGGTTTAGAAATCCACTTGCCTCAAATAGTCGAACAATCACTTTGGGACTTGAATCTTCCCTTTTGTTGGACTTCCAAATCAATACAATCTATTCAAATAGATAACCACAGTAAGATTTCGAAACTAACAACACCTATATTACTATAGGTCTAGCGTAAACCCAAAATCTCATACAAACCTAAAATCAAGTTCCTAAATTTTGATGTCCATTAACATGTCAATTCTCTTGTTTTTTTTCAAATTTTAAGGCTAGGGTTAAGTTCCAATATATCAAACTTTGAATCATAATGTAATAATCTTAAGAAAATTCTTAATGGAAATTTGGATAATAAATTACCAACGGACCAATTTACGATGTCTCCGTCGCTGACGTTTGTCAAGCAGGCCACGTGGATTGGCCAGGGTCTTCTTCGACTAATGAGACCTCGATTCCGAAGCCTTCGAAGTATCTTTTTGATAGGTGCCTCTATTTGTATGGGGAATTCGCTGCTGATAGATCTCGCCCAGTGTCCCCCTCCTTCCCCCGCCGCCTTCCGACCTTTTCGAACTCTGTCTCTAACTCACTAGAGGCACGGGAAACAAAGAGAAGATGCATACGAACGAGAGTTGTTGAAACTAGCATATTGGAAGATAATATGTTAATTCACCGTAACTACCAATTAGAAAACTGAAACCCTTTTGAACTAATCCACTCACACTTATTACCTATCTCCCAATTCACTATCTCATGATAATGCAAAGATAAACCCATAAATTAATTATTTTGGCTCATAGGAGCCTAACAGGAAGTTCAACCTACGCGAACAACATACATATACTAGTAATAGCCATTCCTACTAACCAATCATAATCACCGCAAGTGCTACTAGGTAATGATTACCAATTCACAATTTTCTTTTCATCAAACAGAAACCTTACCTCAATTATCCATGATGCCTTTTGGTAAATGTGTGCCCGCCGCAACAGTTTTCCTCTAACTCTAATTTACTCGTATATATGGGCCAAATGATACTGAATATTCAATAACTCATGGACTTGGCCCATTAATTATTAACTAAAATACTGATCTGAAATTATCCACTAATTAAATAATAATAGATATTCAGATACTTCAAAAATTCCAACCAACTTCACACATTAATTATACATGATTCGGGTCAACTATCGAGAGAGGTAAAATGATAATTTTATATAAAGAAAAATTCAAAAATGACCTTCTGGGTCATTACAAATATAGGAAAAATTTAATTTACATTTCTTGATTTAGTAAGATGGACAACTAATACGAGACAATCAATTTTAATATAATGATCAACTAATATAAGACTAAGAAAGTAATAGAAAGTTCTCATAATATAATGATCAACTAATATTGGACGGGAACCGAGGAAATTGTAAAAAAAATTGCGAAGATAAAAGATTGTCAATAAAAACCAGATTTTTACTTAACAGTACTAGGGGGCCGTTTGGCCATAAATTTCCCAAATAATATTTGGGGAAAAATTTGGCAACTAGTGTTTGTCCATACAATTTGCCATTATTTGGCAAATATTTTTGGCAAATATCCCAAATTCCCAAATACTAGTTTTTTCTAATATTTGGGCCAAATCTCATTATTTGGGATCTTTTGAAAATTGAAATTTTACACCAAATATTTATCTTTTACAAAAACACTCTCTATAGTAGTTGTTTGCATTGTATTACATAATTTTTTACGTGAACACCAAAGTAGTGATGAAATATTCAGTGAATATGATAGCGATGATATGGTTGTTGATGAAAATGATGAACAATCGGCTCAGTGTAACAAAGTCATGTGCTTTGTCTACTTCACGATGTATGGAATGATGCATGTTGCACTCACTCCAAACTACCATATTGCTCTAGTGACATGGACACTACTTGTTATTTGTTGCAACGAAGATCCAATTGACTTGTAATACAAACTTATGGTTAATTTTGATAGTTTTTAAAACTTATGGGTATAAATCATATTTTTCTAAAAAGTGAAATATATTTCCCAAATACTATGGCCAAACACATGGTGAAATTTCACCCAAATTTTCACCCAAATAATATTTGCCAAGAATATTTGAAAATCTATGGCCAAACGCTAGCTAGGCTACTTCTTGGAATTCTTTGGGATGCTTCTCAAATTTCAGGCTGGCTATCAGAAACCTGACTTTGCACTTGTATAATGACTGGAGAGACCCCATCAAAGTTTCTTCAGAGAAAAGGTGAAAAAAAGTTCTAAAAGGTGGAAAATGAAAACACATGGAGGGAGAGGCATTGGCTGGCTGACACAAAAAAGAACCCTAAGACAAATACACAACATCTTTTAAAAACTACGGGGCATAAAATTCAAAATAATTATATATTCAAATCTCAATTCAAAGTAATTCAAGAAACACTCATTCTCTCAAAAAAAAAAAAAAGTTACAGCCCATACCTCCTTTCGTTAAATACAAAATCAGGATCATATACAGTATTGGTATCATTAAGACTGATAATTATACATTGTATAGGTATCATTAAGGTTTCTTGTTCAGAAATTGTTCATTAATCAATGATACTACAATAAAAATGAGCTAATAGTACTATTGCTCCCTGTCATTGTAAGAACGAATTAAGTTGTGGCGTTCAATCTTTAGCTTGAATTGAACATTATCATATCATGTTATAACATATGTGTATGTTTGAAGTTTCAATCTGCTATATATGTGAGTCAATTTCGCGTACATTGGGGTTCAGTTACATACATCTAATGCCAGTTTAATGCTCCTTAGAATGATAGCTAGCTTTTCACTTGGCTCGAATCAAAGAATATCAGCTGAAATTTATTCATTGAGAGGTACAAACATTTACAGAGAACTCCACAACTTGAAGAATCAGTAACCAAAGAATACAGAATCGTTAACTTAGAACCAAGTGAATTTTCCATCAACAGGCACATAGGGGACCAAAAAAATTCCTCCAGGCATTTTCCAAGAAAGTTAACTTGTAGGTATCTATGCACCCCTTATGCTTGAATGATCCAATAAATGAGAGAAGGATCGATTCATGTTGTTCATCGGAAGAGAGTCTGCGAATGCTTTAGTAAAGTATTCAGAGGCTTGTTTTGAGCTTTACACAACAAGTTCCTCACACCTGCAGTCACCTAATGAATAGTCCAATAATTCCAAAATCCAAAGTCAGAAAATGAACTAATACCATCATGCATATAGTAAAGATTTAACGAAAAATCAACCTTTCCCAAACTTTGTTTTGCATAAGGAACAGTTCTTTGATATCCAATAGCACTTGTCGATGGAGGAGATTTCCGGCTTGCTTCTTCTCTGCACGGAAATTTCCCTCTGCTACTACTCCTTGTTATTATTGAGGAAGGACTACTCTGCCACTTATCGATCGGAGAAGTTGGAATATTATGCTGATAAGAAACAAAAAAAATAACCTCATAAGTTTTATTTTCTTGATCACATAAAAGGTCGTGTATTTAATTTGATCAATATGCATACATACCACTTGGCTTCTACTTCTTGTAGTAATGCTGGATGTGCTTTGACAGTTCCCAATTGACAAATCTGGTAGACTTGATTCCTAACAGTAGAAATGAATCGCGATTAAGCAAAATATAATCAAACTTGGAAATGGTTTTGCCACGATAAGATAAGTTACAAAACATACAAGAAATAGAACTGTTGCACAATGTTTTAGGACTTCCAAATTCATCCGAACATCGTCTAAGCTCCTGCCATTCACGTTAAACAATCCAAATTAGGATCCATTTTCATGATTTTTTTACCATAAAGTTCAAGCTTTTGAGTCTAACCTGTGTTTTTGCTCCCCGAGATCAAAGTAAGCTGCTAACGAAGCCATCTACAATAACGAATAATTTAAGAAGCAATAGTCAAAATTGAACTTTATATTGAGTGAAATGTACATGGTATACCTTCATGTTTCCAGCTCTTTTACCAAATTTCTCAGATAAAACACCTAAGGAATCGATAATTCCAACAGGCACAGGTGCAGGGCAACCAATTTCAGCGAAAGCTGCCTTAATACGAACACAATCGAATCTCTGTATGTTATGACCTGCCCAAATCCTACCATCCAAAATGTTGAAGATCTTTTGTGCAACTTGTTCAAATGAAGGTGCATCAGCAACTGCTTTTCGCGTAATACCATCGACTCTCCCTGACTTTAATCCAACAACTGACAAGTCCCCTGGCCTAATAAGGGTGCAGTAGCTCTCAAGTTCAACAAGCTTTCTTGAACAAACTACCATTGCACCAAACTCCAACACCCAAAATTTCTGTCCAGGTTTCGATGGAACGTTTGTTTCCAAGTCGAAAAACACAATCTCTGAGGACCTTTTGTTGATTGAAATGTTAGGAGTTGCCATTTTCTTTTCCTTTTAGGGGTTCAACAAGTTGTAAGATAGTTTGTTATTTGATGAAGTGATGGAAATGATGGTCCATTTGTGTTATATATATATGAAAAAAAACCAAAGAATGTAAAGATTGAAGAATATTCTTTCATGTGTATGAGAGACATTAATTGGTAGATTGTATTGTAAATCAAGTTAGACTATGTTTTGGTGTTTGTACAAAGTTGTCCTTAGCTTCTACTTGATGATATCCTTTTAAAGGGAATTCCAGTTAGATAGGTAACATTCCCTCTCCTACTCTCAATGGTATTGTCAACCTGATATTAGTTGGATAAATTGTCTTCGTTGTTACGTATTATTTCATAATGTATCATATCGTATTGCTAATTTCACACTTGTTATTTTATTCTTAATGAGAAGTTTAATTTCATCATCACACAAATGTTATGGCATGTTTAAGATCATAAGTTTCAATAGTTTTATAGCCACACACAAATGTTACATCATGTTTTATATCACAAATTTCAAAAATCTTCATTTCTTTATTAAACTCTTCATCAGTTCAAACTATGTCACACAATTGAAATGTGGAAGAAGTAGTATAAAGAAAGTACAACTTTATAAAAGTAGTCCTAAAAAGTTAAAAATATTAGTTAGGCTAAATAAGTTTTAACTCGAGAAAGTACAACTTTACATTGGACTCAAGATGAACATAATAAGAATAGAAAGATTAAACGTTTTGAATAGTAATATAAAAAAACATGCAATTACTATTGCCTTTTTGGTGGTTTAAAAATATTAAAATACGTTTTTATTTTTTTTTATTAATTAATGAGAAATTGAAACAAAAGGAAGTCCAACAAGATAAGTAATTCCCTGTTCCCTTACGTTAGTTAACAGAAAAAGTTGGCAACACATGCTCACAAGTCACATGGTACCATATCACACGTTAACTCTTTTTTGATCCGTTAAATTATGTCTAAAATTTTCATAATTCATAAAACTACTTCCTTTAACGATATATGAGATATAATAAATAAATTCATCAAAATATGAAATATAATAAATTAGATCTATCAAATGAGATGTTGTCAATTGAACTTCCATGTCACACCACCAAGGTTGTGGGATTGAATAGGATTTGTCAATTCTTAAAGAAAGGTGGTCTCAAGTTCGAGTCTTATGAATTAAAAAAAACTAGTAAATAGAGGTGGAGTCAAAAAACACTTTTCATATAGTTTTTAAATATCTAACATTTTATTTTAAATCATCAAATTAATGTAATCTAATTTAGCTTTGAAAATTAGTCAATTTGACTTTCGAAAAGCACAACGTAACAACTACAAAGGAACAAAGGGAGTACTATATATATAGAAAGAGAATTGTTCTCGAAGTTAGTGGGTGCACGTGACCCCTTCCTCACCACATCGGTACGCCTCTGCAGTGGTAAGGAACCTTCGCGCATATCTAACACGTTTAAGGGCGAGAACATTTTTTCCAATTACTTACAAAGGGCATAGTTAAGTACAAATTAATAGTTGAGGGGTAAATTTCTGACTAATTCTACATCACTAACTCGTAATTTTAGAGATAAATGTCACTCAATTATTTTCATTTTCAATCATCAGCCAAGAAATTGCACACAAATTTAACAATTTCAGTGTACATATAATGAGAGAACATGGAGGGTTGGGTCAGACTACACATTATTTATGCATGTTTGGCTGTAGCAGAACCCAAATAAGCAAACATTACTGATGCATGTTTTACACTGGAACAGGAGGTTTGAGAGTAATCAATGCTTTCTTGATTCTCTCCACAGCTGCCTGCAAGGTCGAAAGCGATGCTGCATAGGAGATACGGATACATGTGTCATCCCCAAATGCATCCCCGGGGACAAGCGCAACCTGTTTAAGGTAAGAGTGAGGCACATGCATTAGGGCATGGAGAAAAGAAATGAGTGGCAAGGAGCAGGGGCGGAGCTAGAACTTTTTGAGAATGAATTCATAAAAAAGTAAAAAGAAGAGGGGGGAGTAGCAGGTAAAGTTGCTGCCATGTGACCAGGAGGGCACAGGTTCAAGCGTTGAAAACAGCCTCTTGCAAAAATGCAAGGTAAGGCTGCATGCATACAATAGGCCCTCATGGTCGGGCGCTTCCCCGGACCCTGTGCATAGCGGGAGCTTTTAGTGCACTGGGCAGCCCCCCTTTATTCAAAAAAGTAGAAAGAATATCTCTCTAGCGAGAATCGAATCTGCAACAATGGGCTAAACATTAAGACCTTCAGCTGCTGAGCTAAAGTTCATATTATGTTAAGGGGATTCAAAACTTAATATCTATACACTCATAAATGAATTGACCTTATATACACAGTGTAACTTTCTAACGATGAACCCGTAGTTTTTTTTTTGATAAAGCAAACAACGATGAACCCGTAGTTCCGCCCCTAGCAAGGACCTAATGCACAGCTGTCAGATTTTTCTAGAATTGTCTTTCTGGATTTTGACCAGATTATATTTGCCTAACAATCGAGAATGACATAGTTAAGATGGAAAGCTTTTCTGCAGAATCCACAAGTTAGATGCTCAAGTAGATAACGCTCACATGGTCAGTATTAAGAGTTGTTTGAAAGCTGCAGTATCCATATTTTCTGAATAAAGGTCAAGAGACTGTATCCTTGAAATTATTTTTTAGTGCAAGCAACTTTGGTCCTTTAGGTAACTAAACATCCTGCACATCTGTCATTTTGTAATTATGCTTATTAAAGTTCAAAAAATGAAGAATCTTACTTGAGATTTATCCAGTAAATATCGGCAAAGAGATTCTGAGTTGTTGACGGTGCCAAATCCATCAACCTCTACTCCGTAATAAGAGCTGAAATCAATAAATAAATAAAATGCTCCCTGCAAAAGAAAACAGGGAAGTTTGGGCTCAATTTATCAGGGGTAAGAGTGCAAAAAGGAAATAAGTGAGCAGAGACAACTACTCGATGCACATAATCCTGTTTCTCTACTTTTCAAGTCCTCCATCAAGAAACTTTACTATTAAGTACACTCATATTTCATACAACTGGACTGTTACCCGAGGCTCTGAAATTTTGACACCATCAATTTCCCCAAAGCTCTTGACAAGGAAATCTCGCCGCTCACGAAATGCTTTTAACATAGTTGCAACTGCTTCTCCACCAGCATAGCCCAGTCCCAGAGCAGCCACACCTGCCTTTTGGGAGATGCTACTTGCACCTGATGTGAACTGCAACAGCAGAGAAATAGATTTAAAAGTGAACTCTCACATAGGGGGAAATAGACACTGGATAATATGAAGACTGTTATTTAGACAGTGAACACGTCTTTTACTATTTTCCATGGGTCTATAGTGAATAGGTTAAAATTCTCCCCAAATAAAAGACCACATTCAATGAAAGTACTTCAATGGACACATTAAACACACCCCAATACATATGGTCGGATGAAAACTGGTTTTGTCAATCTTGTTAAACAAAATCCAATAATGAAACTCAGTTTCCAGACCAGTTAACTTGTTAATAAGAGTTCCGAAGGAAAAATACCACATTCATTTAAGTCGATAAACTTATTAAGAACAAAAGATATTACCTGGCTCTGTAACTTATTACATGCAGAAATAAAGTGTTTAGGACCAGCAATATAGCCAAGTCTCCAACCAGTCATTGCAAAGGCCTACAAGAATGCATATTATAAGGCACACCTCCAGATATATATTCCAATATATGTAAAAGAAATAGTCATTGCCAAGGAAGAACTAAGGAATTATAATTTTCATACAATAAGAGCTGCATTACCTTAGAGAAACCATTTACAGTGAGAGTCCTATCCCACATACCAGGCAAAGATGCAAAGCTGGTATGAGTTGCTGGTGCATAAATAATGTGTTCGTAAATTTCATCTGATATAACCTGCAGACCAGAAAGCATTTTTTGTGGGGCAGGAAGGGGGTAGTTCAGATTCAAAGAACAGATTGGGATCATATTCAGGACGAGTTAGATATGATGAACCTACAAGAAGCCTCGGATGCCTAGCCACAATCTCAGCAATCTCCTCAAGCAATTTCCGAGGGTAAACAGACCCTGTTGGGTTGGATGGAGAACAAAGAATCAGAACTCTTGACTTTGCAGTCAGTTTAGATTCAAGAAGCTTTGGATCTAATAGAAAATCTTCAGATATGCTGGTCGGAAGAATCACAGGCGTTGCATCTGCCATCCTTGCCATTTCAGGGTAACTCACCCAATAGGGAGCTGGAATAAGAACCTGTGCCGTGTATGTGGGTTAATAAGCCAACAAACTTCAGAAGTGAAGTACTTATATCTCAGAGCTAACAAACAATCTTCAGTACATAAACTGTCACTATGGCAATACTAATTGAGTGATTTCTATTGTAAAATTCCACTGCTTAACATTCATATTCGAGGAGGAAAAACTAAAGAGTATCAAACCTTATCCCCTGCATCTGATACTTTAAGATAGAGAGAAGACAAACGGTAGATACTTCACCAAAATGAAAGTTCTCTTTTCAGGGGGAAGGGGAGGAATGCAGAAAACTGATTTAAGTAATGGTACTATAACATTATATTTCCCGTCACAATTAAACCAGCTATAGTAATTTTCTACCAAGAGATTAAACAATAGAGAAAAGGTGAAATATGCTGGCACTTCCTTTAGTGAAAACAAAATAACTCTTTTGAGTTAAAATTTTGTATCCAAACAATGAGTGCAGCAATCAAAAGAAAAAGAGACGTTTAAAATATCAAACAGTTATCAACTTTTTAAGTCATTCACCACCAAAGTGAAATTGTGGGAAGACCCGTTATAACAAAAAAATTATAAAGAAGACATGTTATAATAATTCAACATGGAAATGACAATTATGTGGAAAGTTAATAAACCTTGGATGTGTAGAGTTACCTCATCCCCTGGAGAACAAACTGCAAGCACTGCCTGAACACTACTTTGTTTTGCCCCATTGCTTACCACAATCTGATCAGGAGTGTATGATAGCCCGTTCTCCTCTACATC